TCGAACTCATGGACCGCGAGATCGTGACCTGGCTGAAGTCGGACGCTTAACCGACTGCGCCACCCAGGCGCCCCAGAGCTCTTGTAATTCTTAATATCTATATGTATGTATAACAGTATTTTCCAACTTTCTGAGTGCAATATTTTCTGTCTTTCTGAGAATATTAATATGTTGGTTTTCTCCGAAGTTTTATTTTTGTTTTTTGTTTTTGTTTTTTTACTCCCTGTATTATGTATTATCTTAGTCTCTTTGTCTATTTGTTTTGGAGAACAATATGGAGTTAAAAGGCCAAGATAGATTGGATTTAAAAAACAATACCCATATATATTCTAAGAAACCTATTTCGATATAAGACACAAACAAGTAAAGGTAAAAAGATAGAAAAAAGAGAACCCGTGCAAAAAAATGATCAAAACACACTGGAGCTAAAAAAAAGAGGTTAGAGTGGGAGAGAGCCAAAGCATAAGAGACTCTTAAAAACTGAGAACAAACTGAGGGTTGATGGGGGTTGGGAGGGAGGGGAGGGTGGGTGATGGGTATTGAGGAGGCACCTGTTGGGATGAGCACTGGTGATGTATGGAAACCAATTTGACAATAAATTTCATATATTAAAAAAAAAACACTGGAGCAGCTCTATTGATACTGGACAAAGCAGATTTCAGAAAAAGGAATACTGCCAGAGATAAAAAGGGACACTTAATAATATTAAAGGAATTCATTCATCAAGAGGACATAACAACCCTAACTGTACATACACCTACTAATAGTTTCAAAATACATGAAGGAAAAAATGACAGAATTGAAAAAAGAATAGGCAAATCCATAACTATAGCTAGAGATTTCAGTGCTCTTCTCTCAACAATTTGTAGAACAATTTAAATAAAAAAGTCAGTAATGATATGGAAGACTGAAACAACTCTATCAATCAACTTGAACTGAGATATTTATAGTATATTCCACCCAACAAAAGCAGAATATGTAGTTTTTCTTCATATCCTGGGCAACAAAATAGGTCTCAATAAACTTATAAGAACTAAAGCCATACAGTATCCCTCCGTCCATAGTGCAATTAAAAGCTATCAGGAAAATCCACAAATACTTGAGAAGTAAACAACATATTTCTAAATAACCTTTGTTCAAAGAAGAATTATAAGGGAAATTTGCAAAATATTTTTAAGTGAACGTAATGAAATACAACATAATGTGAGAGGCAGCTAAAGCAATATCCCAAGAAAATTTAAATGCTTATATTAGAAAGAAAGTTCTCAAATCAGTGATCTAAGCATCCATCTTAAGAAACTTAAAAGTAAGGAGAAAGAAGGAAATAATAAAGAGTAGAAATCAATGGCACCAAAAGGAGAAAACCATACAGAGAAAAAAACCCCACTGATACCAAAACCTGATTCTTTGAAAAGATCAATAAAATGGATAATCTCCAACCAGGCTTAAAATAAAGATAACATAAATTACTAACATCAGTTCTATGTGTATGTGAAGAAATGGAATACATAATTAAAAACCTTCCTACAAAGAAAAACTACAGGCCCATATTGTTTCAGTAGTGAATTCTACATACATTTAAGGGAGAGATGATACCAACTCTCCACAAAGACTTCTGGAGAATAGAAAAGAGGAGAGAAGTTCCCAACAACCCCTAACACTTGGTGGGTGGAGAAAGACAAATAGATCTGGCAGGTTACCAAGTGGAGTGTCTTAAACAGCATCCTTTTTCCCCAGACCTGAAGTCCAAACTACTGTCCCCAAAAGTCAACCCCAAAACAATAAACAGAAGACTCCAGACACAAGGATTACTTGTTCTAAGTTACCCACTGCCAGGTGGGTTTTAAGAAACTGGGGCTCTGAAGAGTTAATATGAGGCAAACAGTTGTCTGCAGCTTGTGATTTTATAGCAGAAAACATAGAAGGATGGAAGGAACTCTCATTTTCAAGTGGTTACTGCCCACTGAGTACTAGTCTATAATCCATAGGGCATATTTGTAAATGGCATTATCATTCCCACTTTATAAATGAAGAAACCAATGCACAAAGACATTAACTAACTTGCCCAGGGTCACACAGAAAGTGGCAGAGCTGGTATTATAATCCAGCTCCATCTGACCTCAGAGGCCATGCACCTAAATGGATTTGGTCTTTGTGGTCTAAAGCTGTCCTCTGGCATCAGGGAGGTGAAAGCATTAAGGTAGATCATCCCCATGGGACTGATGCTGAGGTCACAGCATTAGTACCTCAGATGCATTAGCACTGGCAGATTTTAAGAACCAGCAAGGTTGACAAGGACCACATGAAGTTATTTTTAGCTGAATATACATTATTCCATTGTATTAAAATACTCCACAACATTGTTAACAGTTGCCTTGAAATGTAATATACAAGTACAGAGGACAGGTGTAATACAATTTGCAATATGTTCATGGCCCACAAAAAATGCAAGACATGAGCAGAAGCATTCCTTAGTCTCCTATAGTGATGTACAACCAACATAATGACATATTTCTTTGCTGTCTTTTTTAAAAAGTCTGCTTGGAATCAAAGCAGCTTGGAATCTGGATCCAAACATTCCCCTTTATTACAAACAAAAAGCCACGAGCAAACCATCAGATGGCAACCCTGACATAACAATGTTAATTGGCTGTTTTTTGTGGTTAAGCATTTACAGAGAAGTCACAGATTTTAGTTTCAAGGGAAACTAGACCACTTGTACCCTCCTGCAAATTTACCAACCTCTTCTGAATCTGAGCAAGGACTGTGTGGATTCTCTCATTGTACCAGGTACACTTCTCTTTGGTAATGCAGACGTGGACCAAGCTCCCATCCTTCCAGGGTGCATGGACAAATCTGCTGCAGTATTTTGCATGGACTGTCTTCTTGTTGGTCTCCTAAATAAAGGACAAAGTACAGAAGCCATTCAGACCATTCAAAGAAGAAATCTCCAGATGGCACCCCATCTCTGCCTTATTTATAGAGCTCCTAGCACTCACTCCCATGGTAAAATCATTCAACTGCTGGTTCAACCAACATGTACTGGGGCCTGCTCTATATGGAGCCCTGTGCCAGATGTCATGAATGATAGTCAGAAAAACATGTGCAATCTCATCTGTGCCCCCAGAGAAGATAATGTTTCCAGCAGGGAGACACTGTATGCACATGCTCACATGCATGCACCCACACACAGAAAGTTAGGAAGGCAGAGCACTAGACACCCAGCACCTGGTGCTAGGTTGAGACAATAATTACTGGGCAATCTGACAACAGAATAAAGAGTTCTCAAGGACTAGAGGGTCAGTAGGACTCTCTGGAGGAGGTGGGACTTAAGATTCACACACAAAAAATCTTTCCATTATTACTCCCAGCCCCAAATGAAGAAAAGTAGCCAAGAAACCCATTCTACACCTAGCATTCTCTACTGGTACATACAAAACTGGTCTGAGGACAATGGCTTCCCACACATAGAGCTCACTCAACTGATTTATGAATTTATGAAGCACAACTCCATGTCACCAGCAATACAATCTTCTAGGCAGCAGCACTAGAAACCATAAACAAAGACCAAAATTCCTGCCTTCATGGAGCTCACATTACAGGGAAAGAGCTAGATAATAAACAATCATACAGCAGATCAGATGGTGATAAATGCTATAGAGAAAAATAAGGAAGGAGAATAAAGAACAGGGGATGGGAGGGGATGGAGAAGTTTTTTTTTTTAAGTTTATTTATTTCAAGAGAGACGGAGAGAGTGTAACCAGAGGCAGGGCAGAGAAGAAGAAAGAAAGAAAGGAAGGAAGGAAGGAAAAGGAAGGAAGGAAGGAAGGAAGGAAGGAAGGAAGGGAGAAAGAGAGAAAGAGAGAGATAAAGAAATCCCAAGCAGACCATGCATTGCCAGCAAAGAGGCCGACATGGAACTCGAACCCGTGAAACTGTGAGATCATGACCTGAGTCAAAATCAAGAGTTGGACACTTAACTGACTAAGCCACCCAGGCGCTCCAAAGAAGTTAAAACCTAAAAAAAAAAGAAAGCCTTAAACAGAAGGTAAAATATGAGCAAAGACCAGCAGGAACGAGAAGTGTGACCATATGGAGATCTGGGGGAAGCTTGAGGACTCAGCAAGTGCCAAACCCTGTGGTAAGAGTAAGTGTGTGCCTAGCATGTCTGTAGAATTTTAGGAAGGTTGGTGTAGTCCAAACAGAGTGAGCAAGGGTAAGGGGTGAGATGATGCTAGGGCAATATGAGGAAGAGAGCCAGATGCAGACTCCGTAAAGCCTACTGGCTAATGGAAGTGACTCTGGCTTCTCCTCTGAGTGAAAAAGGAACTATCCAAGAACTTTAACATGACAAGAGACAAATTTTTTTAATTAAGATATAATGGACATATAACATTATATTATGTATACAATACGATTTGATATATGGATATATTACAAAATGATTACCACAATAAATAAGTAATGCCCATCACCACACATAGTTACAGATTTTTTTCTTGTGATCTATTTTAAGATCTACTCTCTTAGAGAAGTGACAGAATTCATAGTTTTAAGTTTTATTTACAATTTTAAAATTTAATTTATAAAAATATCATTTTGAAGGTTACTCTGGCTACTCTGTTGAGAACAGACCATAGAGGGTCAAGGACAGAAGCAGGTCCATACCAGGGTAGTATCAGACGTGGCGAGAAGTGGTTGGATTCTGAGTTACAGACATGTTATGAAGACGGAACTGACAGCATTTAATGAGAGGTCAGATATGGGTGTGGGAGAAAAGAGAGCAGTTTGGGATGACACTACGGTTTTCAGCCCACAGAACTACAAAAATGGAGTTGCAATGAATTTATGGGAGGAAGATTATGGGAAGAGTAGCCTTGAATGGGAAAATCTGAATCTGGTGTCTGATGTACTAGGTTCAAGGTGCCTATCAGACATCCCATTGACATGGCAAGTAGCCAGGTGGAGATAAGGGAAGGACTCAGGGCTGGAGATTTAAATGTGGAAGTCACCAGCATGCACACAGATTAAAAGCCACAGGACTTGATGAGATCATGTAGAGAATGGGTACAGAGAGAGAAGAGGTCCAAGGACCGCACTTTGAGGCCCTCTGGCATTTAGAGGCTGGGAACATGGGACAGAAGTAACAAAGAACACTAACAAAGAATAGTCAGTGAAGTAAGAGGAAAACAGGACAGTGTTTTCTGCAAGCAAATGAATTTCAAGGAAGTAACCAACTATATGAAATGTTGATAGTAGGTCAAGTAAGAGTGGGACTGAGAACTGACCCCTGGATTTAGTAATACATGTATCCCTGGAAAGAGAGGGTTTTGGTGGAGAGGGGGCCTTGCTGAAGTGGAGTGCATTCAAGAGGGCATGGGAGAATTGCCAAGACTAGAGAAAGGGAACATATACAACTCTTGAGGAGTTGGATTCTACAAAGGAACAGAGAAATGAGGCAAATGAGGCAGAAGCAGAGGCAAGTATGGGGATCAAAATCCTATATTTTTAAGAGGAGAGAAAGAACACCATATTTGTGTGCTGATAGGAAAGATGCAGAAATAAGGGTAATAATGATGATACAGAATAGAAAGGGGGCAAATGAGTAAATGGCAAATAAGGATCAGTGCACACATGAAAGGGTGGACCATAGACAGAAGTGAGGACAATTTAGCCATCCTGGAAGTAATATGGGTAGAAAACACAGGCACAAATGCTGGGGATTTGTAGATAAGAAGTGGATGTTTATGAATATTCATTCCAATGTTCAATGAAATGGGAAGCAAGGTCACTAGCTTAGAGTAAGCAAAGAGGAGATGGTGTTTGAAGTTTGAGGACAAAAGAATAGACATCTTGGAGAATGAGCATCTGAGTGGATTGGAAAACTACAGGAGGTGGACAGCACAAGAGATCCATGAGGTTCTTCATGGAGAGATTCATGAAGTTAGAGGTCATGAATTTAAAGGGAAGCCAGGTACCGTGGCTATGTGCTTTTCTCTGGTTTCTTCTGCTGCAGTCAGATGCACAGCTATAATGCAGAAAAGGCAGAGAGGTGGATTTAACCAGGGTTGGGGTTTTGCCAGATGAGAATAATAATTTAAGAGAGGAAAAGTAGCTGAGCATGTACAAGAGGGACAAAAGGATAGAGAGAACAGACAACAGGGAGTAGAAATAACAAATTAGGGGCGCCTGGGTGGCGCAGTCGGTTAAGCGTCCGACTTCAGCCAGGTCACGATCTCGCGGTCCGTGAGTTCGAGCCCCGCGTCGGGCTCTGGGCTGATGGCTCGGAGCCTGGAGCCTGTTTCCGATTCTGTGTCTCCCTCTCTCTCTGCCCCTCCCCCGTTCATGCTCTGTCTCTCTCTGTCCCAAAAATAAATAAACGTTGAAAAAAAATTTTAAAAAAAGAAATAACAAATTATATAATCCCAGTGAGTTGAAAGATTGGAATTAGGTAGTAGAGGAAATGACCTTAAAAAAAGAGGTCAAAAAGTGGGACCTTTGGAACTGATTTATGTGGGTTATGATGGAAGAGTTATTTGTAATGACAAGGTCAAGGGGATGCCTATGGCAGGATTGGTAGAGATGGGATGGAGGAGAAAGTCACCAGAAAAGAGGAGGTCAGAGAAATGAAAGGCCAGGATGTGAGAAGGGTCATTTTCATGGGATTAACATTAAAAAATGGTTGGATCCAGTGACAGCAAGTCACAAGCTACAATCTTCAATTAATGATGGGGGTAACCTGGGAGTCAGAAAATGTCAGCCATAGGAAGTGTCATGGGTGGTACATTCTGATGACATAGGAAGACAGAGGGAGAATGGTCAAGAAACAGCAACAAGGAATAAGGAAGGACAGCACCCACCTCTCCCACCCACAGATCCAAGGAGAATGGGAGAGAAACCAGAGTCCTCGAGAAAAAACCCAGACAAGCAGGCAAAGAGAACACTGCAGAGCACTTGACACTACAGTGGGTGTACTGATATCTTCTAGTTCCGTGGGGCACAGTGGAGGGAATTTAGGAGTCAGGGAGGAATGGAGGAAACTCAGAGATGGGAATGAGGATTGAGAAGTCTGGTGGTGAATGATATGAACATGGATGAAGGGCATGATGAGATCAGTCTTGATGTTCCCAAGACAGGCAGACAGGGGAACCACATGTCAACCACAACATAAGGATGGAAGGAGAAAGATGTCCTCTCTCTCATTCTCACCATGTTCTTATCCCTCAAGAGTTCTCCCTAGTCTCAATCCCAAAACATGGCCTTCTAACTGTGCGTTATGCACTCCCAGATGGAAACACACCAGACCATATGTTACATGAATACGGGTGTCAGACAGCAGAGTGTCAGAATGGGAAAAGCACAGTGTAAGGTCCCAGCAGATAGTTCAAACCCTGCCATCTCATGATATAACCTCTCAGAGGCCTTGTGACTTTGTCTTCTCACGTGTGCTATGAGAGCACAAATACTCACCTTGCATATAAAGCCCACAGGCATTCCATAAATGCTCATTTCTGATTCACAGTGTTTGTAATTAAAAAAAAAAAAAAAAAGAAAAACAAAGAATGTAACCTCTACTGGGCATCTCCTAAGTGCCAGGCACTGTACTCAGACATGCATTTTTTAGTTTGGACTTTACACCACTCATTTACAGATGTGGAGAGTAAGACTTAAAGTGTTAAATTATTTGCTCAACATCTCTAAATTAGTAACTGGAGAAGTAGCATTTACAGGCAGGTCTTCCTACCCCAAGTCCAGACCACATGGATCGGTACCTAGTGAAAGCTCAATGAATATCTGTTAGAGGAATAAATGGCAAGACTAGAGTGGGTTTGTGAACATCAAGGCTGGCTTTGTGCACAAACAGCATGAGAAGCCATGAATGCAATGTGATTTAAGGGGTGCCTGAAATCCTCTAATTGGAAATGCATTTTTAAATGTTTGTTTATTGAGAGAGAGAGAGAAAGGGAAAGCACGAGCAGGGGAGGGGCAGAGAGAGAGGGAGACAAAATCCCAAGCAGGCTCCACACTATCAACACAGAGTTGAACACAGAGCTCGAGTCCCTGAACCACAAGATCATGACCTGAACCAAAATCAAGTCGGTTGCTTAACCGACTGAGACACCCAGGTACCCCTGGAAATGCATTTTGGTCTCCTCCTCCCACCTGTTCATCCATCTTAGAAATACTACATAGCAAGGCCTTTTTAGTCATTTATTTCTCAGTGTAAATGAGTTTCCTGGATCCGTCCCTACAAACCAGTTTTTATCATTAGAAGTTTAGGGGGTCCTTCCCAGTGGGGGTCTGGGAGAACCCTAAATAATCAACTTATTCATGGCTTCAGTTACTCCCTACCTCACACACAATTCAATTTTAGGTATAAATCCAGATAGCTTGTGGCCCCAAATACTGAAAATAAAATTGTCCCTTTTCCATCAATATTTGTGGAGATAACTGTACTGTACACTTCTCAACTTCTACTGTATTATTTTTAGCACAAGAAATTTGAGGTAAAATTCCCCATTTACAAGCCAGACTCTTCAACCTGTCCCCATAAGATTTTGTTTAAATTGTCAAGAAAAAATAAGGAGAAATCAGTTTTAGAGAGGACTTGAACATACCCCATTGTCACCAGCTCACAGTGAGCTATGTTCAAATTGACATGGATTGATATTTCTAAATATCCAGGGCCCAATGTATTTAAAAAATGAAAATCTACATATGATTAGATTACATACGATAACATATGATTTCCTGAACTAATAACATTACTGAATAATGACTACAAAATCAGAAAACTGTGCTGGGGGAGGAAACCCACAAATGAAATTTCCCTGCAATATGGCAATCACTCCACATCCCAGTGTAGGGGACACAACTCCTGGACACAAGTCTTCTGTCAATTCTGCATTTCTCTCAACCAATTTTTACATTTTCCTCCTTGTAGTTCACTGTAAACACACGGCACTAAGAAGGCTAAAACACCACATCGTGTGGTTAATGTAGCCCCCACGGAAAAAGCCCTTCCTCAGGAGGATGCACAGAACCCAGTGGCCAGCCAGCCTAAAGGAGTGGCAAAGACACTGGGGTTTTACCTCTATAGGATGGACAGACATCTCAGTGATCATGACATTGAATCAGAGCCTTAGAGAATACATAAAGTGATGGTACATTGGAGGACCTTGATTTCCTCTCCAGTGGTCTCTCCTGGGCTGCCGTTACTGGCACATCTGCTTTGTTGCTCACATTTTGATTTTCACTTCAGAGTATGGGCCTTTACTATCTTCTAAAAGAGTTTTCCTTCAATTTTACAAATTTGGAATATTCATTTTATCCTGATTTTCTGTTTCCTATTGTGATACTTTTTAGTCTTTCCATAATTCTAAACTTCTGACCATCCTCTGGGTACTGTCTACACATCAGTGTTTTGCAGAGTGTGGACCCTGGACCAGTAGCTTCAGCATCATCTGGGCCCTCCCTCAAACTCACTGACTCAAGCATGCTGAAGTTTAGGAACCTAATTATCCTTTGATTGTGAACCAGAGTCAAGCATTTTGAGAAGCTATGTTCCTTCCAGAGCCATTGACACAATGGAACCACCTTTTGAAAGTTTTCAATATACACCTGTCCAGTGCCATAATCTCTTAAGAGAATTTCTTTTTATACTTATGGGGAATCCACTAAATACTGGCTGGTAGCCACTAGACTAATATATCTTTGAGAGAGTGACAATATAAGAGGACCATAGAAATCCCTGCTTTGGGCATTTTCACCATCCAATTCACCAATAAAAGGTGAATAACTGACAAGGTTGAATAATTCTGAGACTCATAATGCCAGCTCCTGGCTTATGTACCATTATTGTGTAATCTATTTATATTCAGAAACCATTCCCAGACATGGTCTCCACGTCCCCAAGTGGTGTTCAGTGAAGTGTAACATGGGAAGCACAAAGCCATCTTCCTTCGTGGAAACCCAAGCTGGTTTCCCTCCATGCTGCCTTTCAACCTTGGTCTTGCCCTGGGATCTAGTCTGAGGGGGGCCTCACCCATCCAGGGCACCAAAGGAAGCCCATAGCCATGCCCAGGAGTTCACTTCACTTACCGCACTAGTCTGCACAGACTCATTTCCTGGTTTGGCTTTTACATCAACGACTCCATCAGCATGGCGGAAGGAGCAGTCAGCAAGGACGTCATAAAAGGACAGCCCCTGGGCTTTCAAGCCATATTTCTGTAGCCACTTCTTGGAGTCCCAGGTGTTCTCTGGATTTGATTCATTCTCTACAGAGGTTGCTCCTGATTCTATTTGTGGAATTACAGTTCATCAGTGCCATTCATATTTTGCAAGCCATTTATACTTCACCCCCAACTTAATATTTAGCAAGCAGGAACATATTTTGTTAGGTCACATTCATTTCAGGAAGCATGCTTTCTAAACAGGACTGGCAAAGAATTAGTTCACCAGACTGGAAGGCAGGGATCTGCTACTTTTCATCTCATTTCTTCCTTTACCTAAGTTGCCTACCCCATGCGTTTGGGAGATGGCTGGCAGACCAAGGCCATGTGTCAGGAGAGCATTAAACTTGGGGTGAGAAGCTCTGGGTTCAAGTCATGGCTCCACCACTTACTAGCTCGGGCAAATTGCTCAGACTTGGATGAATCACTGCACTTAACCTCTCTGAGCTTCCACAGAATTGCTTACCTACAGATCGAAGATAGCGTCTGTTTGGCCTTCCTAAATGTGTTGAAGCGATTCAATGAGAAAAGTTACGTGAAAGTGCTTTTTGATGAGTGGGGGTGAGAATTAGGGGTATGTAACCTGTGTTGAGGTAGAAGTCAGTCAACCACAGAAGACTGGAAGCCTGCCTCTCAGGAGCTCCCCTATTAACTTTGGCGAATGTATTCTGATTCAGAGCCTGGCCCTCAAATCAGCAGGCTCAGAAACCTCATATAGTCAGCTCAGGCACCTATAGCTGTATCTATAACTCACCCTAGTCAGGCTCACAGGTTAAAGTATAATCCAGAAAGCTAATTGTCCAAATATCCCCAGCCTTATCCCTATCCTTTGCCATTTTCCAAAGATTATCTATACTCTTTAAGTGGGGGGTGGGGGGTGCTCTGTTAGCTGGTCAGAACACCATACAACAGAAAAGTATTCATCCAGGTGGCTCAAACTACTAGTGCCACCTAAAGGAGACAGGAGTATCTGGGGGTGGGCAAATCTGAAGCTGAGAAGGAGGCACTCGTTTCTGGAGCAGGCTTGCACTAGCCGATGGAAGCTAACTGTGCACCTCTCCTCCCAATTCCATGCTCCCTAGAAGCACACTGGTAGGAAAAAATTGACCATGCTGGGAGTATTTACAGAATCTGGAAATCAGAGCTTTTTTATTCCAGGGAGTGCACTGGCAAACATTTACCTGCCTGCCACTGGAAGGAAGGCAGAAAGGACTAGCTCTTAGCCCCATTGAGACCAGCAGAGCCCTAGGAGGTACCAAGAGGGGGTGCTGGGCAAAGAAGTAGTTTTTTATAACATGTACCACTGCATATTAGGTCTACTAGCCCTAAAAGTTTACTTCCACTTAGATAAGTGGTTTTCAACCCTGCAGAGTGGAATCCTCTGAGTTCTGTACTGATACCTGAGCCCTACCCATTAGATTCTGCTTTAATTGGTCTGGATATTGAGATTTTTCAAAGCTCCCATGGTGATTGTACTGTGCAACCAAGCTTTACAACTACTGTAAGGTAGAAAGAGCTTTCTAAATTATGATTTGGTGACTCCACCAGTTATGCTTCTATCAGACATAGATTCAAGGTCAAGGACACTTTTAGTGAAAAAGAAGCACTCAATATTAGGGCAACAAAATATTACCCATACTTATCCATTATTATATTTAAGGGAATATAAAATTAGAATAGCATCTGATGAAATAAAACACTTTAGAGACAACTGTTTCTCAATAGTATGTAAAGGATCTGCCAAGTAATACTATATGTTAGCCATGTCCTCAGATTTCAATAGAACACCTTATAAATAATGCACTTAAACCCTCTAGAACCAGACTTTCTCAAAGAAGTTTGATTTTGGCTTTTGAACTTTAAACCAATCTGGCACCAAAAGCCCCTTTGCACACTGTCCCCAGTTACCAGCAGTTGGTTTCTATGTGATTCATAAAGCATCTTCATACCCTGTCCAGGGAACTCAAATCAGAGGTTCCCCAGAGCTTCTCATCCCCAAGGCTCTCCTGTTTTCCTGCATCTCAGGGAAACAGCAAAGAGAACAGAGCCATTTTTGTCAGTGGGATCAGTCTCCTTGGAGAAACCTTTTGAGTGACTATTTTTCCACAGTTATTGTTAATTACATTCTAAGCCTTTGTCTCCTCTTTCTTCCTACTTTATTCTCCTTCCTTCTTTCTGATTAACAGGTGTAGTAGGAAATAAAATTTTCATTCAGTTTTGTCCATAGATAGCAACACACAAATTAGCACATGTTTCTGCTGTTTTGGGGTTGTCTTCTCTTTTTTAAAGTTTATTCAGAGAAAGAGAGAGAGGGAGAGAGGGAGAGAGGGAGAGAGGGAGAGAGGGAGAGAGAGAGAGAGAGAGAGAGAGAGAGAAATCCCAATCAGACTCTCAGCTGTCAGCACAGACCCCAATGCAGGGCTCAAACCCCAGAACTACAAGATCAGGATCTGAGCTGAGATCATGATCTGAGCTGAAATCAAGAGTTGGACGCTTAACTGACTGAGCCACCCAGTTGCCCCAAGGGGTTGCCTTCTTTTAAAAAGACAAGAGCCTTTTCTCAATTATAAATTCAAGCTTACCATAAAAGGACTTCCTAAAAATACATCAAACCAGTAAGGGATTTTAAAGAGCCAGAGACTAACTTTTGACTCTAAGCTTCACCCAGGAACAGGCAGTACAGTCACTTTGATGGGGACTCAAGGAAAACTCCAAAGCAACTTGAACTTCATAAAGGAAAGAAGGGGCAGCCAGACATGCAAAAACAAAGAGCCTAGGTGCTCCAATGATGAAGAAAGGAGAAAAAGGGGGTAAATCTTTCCACTTTCAGTGCTAATTACACTAATTAGTGGCTAAGCCTCATCTTCCCCAGGTGGGAAGGAGAAGGGCATTATCCATTCATTAGAGTCACTTACTAGAGAGTTCTTTCCATTCCCCTGCAGTTATCTTAATTAAAAGTGTTACATAAATTCTCACCCACAGAGCTTAGGATAATACTTTCATTTATTAGAGCTGTGAGCTCACAGCTCATCCTATTCCATGTGACAGATTGCCAAAGATTTTCTCTCAGTTACTTGCAGGAGAAGCACATGGCAGACCATATCTATGCCACCTATAATGTGCCTGGTCCTCTCCATCCTACTTGTCGATCTCAAAACATGTTTTAATGAGCAGGATCTACTGGCCAGTACTTTTGAAACATCACTAGCCAGGGCCACATCAAAAAGACAAAATGGGTACCATTTATCTGTGCCCCTTCCTCCCCCCAAGGTGTAGTCCTATAGCGGCTCATGGCCATCAAGGATTTATCACCATCATAACTGCTCTCCTTATGGTGATGGTTATCCTGATGTGCGAACTTGGCAGGGCCATGGTACCCAGATATTTGGTCAAAGATTACTCTAGATGTTTCAATGAAAGTATTTTTAGGTGAGATTAACATTTTAATGTTTATTTATTTTTGAGTGAGAGAGACACAGAGTGTGAGCAGGAAAGGGTCAGAGAGAGAGAGAGGGAGACACAGAAGCCAAAGCAGGCTCCAGGCTCTGAGCTATCAGCACAGTGCCTGATGTGGGGCTCGAACTCACAAATGGTGAGATCAGACCTGAGCCAAAGTGAGACACTTAACCAACTGAGCCACCCAGGTGCCCTGAGATTAACATTTTAATCAGTAGACTTTGGGTAAAACAGATTACCCTGCATATCATGAGAGGGCCATCTCCATTCAGTTGAAGGCCTTTAATAGGAAAGAGACTGAAGTCCCCTGAGGAAGGGGAATTCTGACAGCAGACTGCCTTGGGACCTGAAATGCAAAACCAGCTCATGAGGGCGGGTGGCCTGTCTGGTCTGTCCTGCAATTTGGACTTTCTAGCTTCCATACTCATTCAAGTCAATTCCTTGAATCTCCCTCAATCTCTATCTCAACCTCTTTCTGTATACACATGCACACATGCACACACAAATGCGCACACACACTATATACACACACACATCCTATTGGTTCTGTTTCTGTGCAGATCCCTGACTGATATGCTCATCCTCCTCCACTGAAGAGGACTTGTCCAGCACCACATTCCTGCCATGCGAGGTTCACGTGCCTTTCAAGCAAACCATCAGCTAATGAATAAACTAGAGCTCTAGATCTGACACCGACCTCTGAGAGCATCAAGTTCAGTGTTTCTCGCACTATGGTCCACAAACACTATTTACCCTGCATGACGGTGGCTATCACTCAGAAAGAGGTTTCTTAGCAAAAAGTTTAGGGAGTTTGAAAATAAAGTTTTAATCGGTTCTTCATCACGGGACTTGTATGAGCCTTTGTTACAGGAATCAGCAGTGGGCCTCACCATGGGTAGAGACATAAATAGTATTTCCTACAGTTATTTGGTCCCAGAACCCTTTCTGCATAGAACATTTGGGAGGGCTTATATTTGATAGACCACAGTTTGGTACACACTTCCCAGCATCCCTATTATCATGAGTGTCATGAGACACTAAGCCAACACTTGGCTGCCCCATGGGAAGTGGCATTGGCAAAGGATGCTGTGAATTAGTTGAAAAGGAAAGGTTCAGAAGAAGCTGAAAGCGATGTTCAACAGAAACAAGGAAAGGAGGGGGACAGGCAGGGAATGAAGGAAGGAATTATGAACAGCTGGGAGGGAGGGAAGAAGAAAGGTGGCAACTGTTAAGAAATCCAGGTGCCTGCCTGTCAGACATGTGAGCCGGCTCAGCAGATGGCAGCTGCTGGACCAAGGACTATCTGCAGGTGAGAGACACGATGAAGCCTGCCTGGGTGGGCACCCAGGAGACGTCTTGAAAGCATGGCTCGAGAGACATATCTGTCTCTGGGCAGACATGCGCTCTGTTCACTGTACTTGCTGACTAACATGACATTTTCCATTCTACAGCTGTGATAGTACCATGTGCTGAGCATATTTGCCTGACACTGCCAGGGAGCCAAAAAAGAGGAGAAGGGGATGCAGGGACAGAGAAGGGTAACCCAGAAATATTCTGCACCACCTGGCCTTGCAGGGCAGGTTTGGGTAATTGTTCTCTGGAGTGCCCCA